TAACGTTTAGTCTCCACTACAGAAACACAAAAACAACAGAAAGTCTGATCAGGTTGTCTGACAGTATTAGTTTGATTAATAATTTAATAATGGGAGTATTGATTACTGATGCTGGCTGATCATTATCAGCTTAATTGTACTCAGTGACAAAACATGAAAACTTCCAGGAAGGATGATGAGAATCAAGCAACCTTTTATGGCTTTTTGTGGATGTGGAAAAAGTTTCATGCCTCAGCGTTCATAACTGAAGTGGGTTTATGAGCGAATTCAAATCTTGTAGCAAACAGAATTGTCTTCTGTTTTTTTATTCACTTTCTAAAATACTTTTTATAAACTTTTTACAGCTACGACTTAAATAAGAAGAATTAAATAGGCAGTATTTAACTTGTTCAGGTTGAAATTTAGTTTACTGTACTGTATTTCCAGTCTCAGCCATACAGTGTGGCAGCATGTACAGACACCCAGCAGCTGATGGAAACCAACACCACTGCTCCTCTTGTGTTTACACTGAGTGTTGATGTACGTAGCCAAGAGAGTCATAAAGAGCTTACTGTACTGGAATCTGCAAAAAACACAGACAAATATAGACTTCACCAACCAGAGATCTTAAAACCACATTATGTAACTTATAGTTATATAACTAGTTATAGTTATATAGTTTAGAAAATAACAGCTTCAGAGTAGATTTCTTTTTTTGCTTGTACAGATTGGCGGTATTAGGACACAGACCTTTGTTTTACGAGGTAAAAGAAGAGGTAAAATATATATATATATATATATATATATTACCTATATCTTTGCATTTCATCAATTCTGTGAAGAAAAACTAAATTGCTGTTTAATGTTCAGATTATTATTTAAGGCACAAGCTATATTGACAGAGCCTTCACTCTCCTGATCGATGTCGACAATCAAAAATCAACATAACATAAAACCAAACAGAAGAAACTGACAAACTATGATATGGATGTATAAATGTGAAGTTGACCTTTACTTGCAAAACCAACCAGGAGTCAGTAGAGAGATTTGCTTCACACACACAAAGTCTGTACACATTGTTTACTAACGACATCAGAAAGTAATCGACAGATATTGTCAGTTCCTTTAGCATTATATAGAAATAGAAAATAATTATATATATAGCCTAGCTCTAATAAAAAAAGAAAGTTAAAACATATATATTCTTCTGTAAACATGACGGCGCTTCCCCTTTTCTATCACTGAGTGAACTGACGACCCCCGACTTACGTCATATAATGTCTAGTGCATAACAAAATTGTGCGAACATTTGTGAATTGTACAACGAACACCAGTGAAACAATCGCAGGATTTGTGTAAAATTAGGGATTTGGAGACAGGATTATTTCCTTGAATATTGTTTTCCTGATATTTTTAGCAACTTTACGGCAATTTTGTCTTGTATTATGTATTCATCCTTTATTTCGACAATTATATACTTATTATTAGATATTTGTGACAGAGATCAGTGTTTCTTCTCATTATTCTGTTTGGTTGTCTTGAACTTTTCCTAAATGCAGATGAGCTGTTTATCATTTG